TTTTGTATTCATGGTAATCCAGGGGCTATGAATAACGAATTTTTCGAGCAAATTAACACGCATTTAGTGTAGGCGTGGTTGGGGTGGGTGTAGGGGCGGGTAGTTAGAGCAGCAAAATGCCAATAGAAAAATTCTAAATACTTTTGTTTTCATTTGCTTATGGTTTTTACTTTTTATTCGCTTCAAAAATGGTGCATATTACAATTCGTTTCTATTTAGAGGGGGAGGAGGGGGTATATTGGGTTTTAGAGAATATTTAGGTAAGGTTTTTTACTTTACACAGTGCTGCAATAATTTAAAAATCTCGAATCGATTTTTTGTGTTTTTTTCCTTTGTTGCGTATACGTGTTGTCATTCATCATACGCTCCAGTGTGCTTTAATTAAAAGCAATGCAGAAAGCGAAGATGTAGACTCCTTTAAAAAGTACAGTAAAATACTCTAAGGATTTTCCGACATGTCAGAAGGCTTCTTCAGATGGAAGACGGGTCGGAGGCCTAATATAAATTTTTAATTTAAAACCAGTATGGAAAGATCAAAAGTCCAGCGGACCGACTATATTATACCCTACAACACTATACGTATTTAGTAGAGCTGCCGTAACAAAAAATTTTGTATTGAGAATTTATGTGTAGCAGATCATACCAACTACGAACCTTATTTGAATGGTTTAAGAGTAGTCACAATTGGGAACTATATCCAAATCTGAATAGATTTTCAACAAATTTTAAGGAGGCTTTTAAACCTCTAGTACTAAGTAACATAGTGCTATATTGTGCATGAATTGACTTCATTAAGGGTTATATTAACAAATATTTATTAGAGCAATAGATATACCGGGCCGACTTCCACCAAATAGTAAAATTCGGTTGAATATGAAAAAATCTATTCAGTTTGGCCTGATATTACAATAACCGTAAGATCAAATGGAGATGTATATCGAAGCTATATATTAAAATCTGAACCGATCACGATAAAATTTGTCAGAGACATTTTCGAGCAGTATCTGATGTCCGGTGTTAAATATCCTTGTTGTGGAGTGCATATTCTGCATATGAGGACTTAAACCCCCAATTCGGATGAAACATAAATATGGGAGCTCTAGGCTATATCTGATCCGATTTTCATAAAAATTCAAGTACTTGCTTTTAGGCTGAATTCCGTCGGAAGTGCCAATATGCAGTCCATCTGGGCTGATATTAGCCATTTGATGCACAAAAAATCTGAAATTGGACAAAGATATATATGGGAGCTATATCTAAATCTGAACCGGTCTCGATACAATTTTAGAGCTATATAAGTTATCTAGTACTAAAGATCATTGTTGTTATCTAGTACTAAAGATCATTCCGCATGTGAGGAACTTAAACCCCCAAAACGGATGAAACATATATATGGGAGCTATGGCTATATCTCATACGATTTTCATCAAAATTTAATCTATTTGCATTATGCTGAATTCTGTCAAAAGTGTCAAAATGCAGTTCATAGCCGATTTCGATACAAGTTATCTGGTACCAAAGATCTTTGTCGTGCAGTGCATATTAGGCATATGATGGTCTTTAAATCCCAAATCCCAAATCGAGACATATATATGGGAACCGATTTTTTTTATATCTGAACCGATTTTCTCCAAATTCCGGCAAAATTGCCAACATTCAGTCCATTTGGGCGGATATTAGCCATTTTATGCAGAAAAAAAAAAAAAAAAATTGGCAGAGGTATTTCTGGGCTGCACAATCCTAAATCAGATTAAATGTATATATGAGAGCTATAGCCTGGACCGATTTTAACTAAAATTTGAAGCACTTTTGGCTGAATTCCATCCGAAGTGCCAAAATACAGTTCGCTTGTGGTGATATTGGCCATTTGGAGCACAATTAACCCGAAATCGGTTGAAGATATACATAGGAGCTATATCTAAATGTGAACCCATTTCCACCAATTTCGGAAGGCTTCCATATACAATAGGCCTGTCACATGACTTCTATAGGTTTTATATAGACCTTTCTCTATCCCCAGAAGGTTTTTAGAGGCATTCAATAGGCAGACCACTTTCACTGGGCTTCTTTGGAAACAATATTTCCAATAGGAACTCTTAGAGAGGTTTTCTATAGATAGAATTTCTCTTAGAGTTCTTCATTTGAAATAATGCCTTCGTGAGGTCGTCTTTAGAAACCAACAACCTGAATTTATTGTCAGAAGTTTGTCTTATCAGCCAGTTATTTAGAAAAATATTTTTTAATGACCATCAAGCCATGATCATCGGTGGATATCAAAACTGAATTATTCAAATATTTTTTATTTTTTTTTTTTTTTTTTTTGTAACTGACTGCTTGTGTCTCAGAAATATACAGCGACTGTCGGAAAAGGTAAATTGTTTTTTTGAGGCAATTGAAGGCTCATCAGAAACTGTAAAACATATTTTTTTCTGAGTCCATCGGCCGAGGCGGGTTCATCGCCCGAAAAGTATTATTTAGAAACATTTTTAAACAACAGAATTGGTTACAATTTAAAAAATTGGAAAGAGAATCACTGATGTAGTGAGGCACCGAAGGGTTTTTAAAAATTCTAAATTACGGAAAGTTCTAAAATGGTATTAAACTTCGAAAACTTGATACGAGAATCAAGGTTAAAACGTAAGTTGGATATATGAAGGTGGTTTTTGAAATGTGTACTAAATTTAGAACAGTTCGGCTTAGGGTGATGCTAAAATTTTGTATTAGGGTCGCTGCTTATGTGTAGACTGAACACGTGGAGGTTGTTTTAGGGTTTAGGATGAAAGTGAAATTTTGAAATGTTATATTGCGGTCCCTGTTGGTGGTTGGTTTGTGATAAAATGGGGGTTTTGGAAATGTGTACTACAAGTGCACGAAAAGTACTAAATGGTACGAAATTTGGTACAATTTGGTATTGAGTAAACATATAGTTATTGTAATCTGAAATTTCGTATTAGGGTCGCTGTTCGTGTGTAGCCTTGACATATGGTGGAGGCTTTGGAAGTGTGTATATAATTGTACGAAAAGTACTATATGGTACTAAGTTCGGTCTTGCTTGAAGGGATATATATAAAATTCTGAAATTTGATATCTGTGCTTGAGATTTGGCGGTGGTTTGGTACTAAGTTTTGGTATTGGGCAAAGGGATAGGGCTGGAATCATCAAGTTCTATATTAAGGATCTCTGTTGGTATGTGGAGTTGAGATATGAAGTTGATTTCGGATATGCGTACTACGTACTATAATTGTTCCAAAAGTACTAAGTGATACGAAATTGGCTGTTGGGCGAAAGGATGGAGCTGAAATCCCGAAATTTGATATTGAGGTCTCTCTTCTTATCTGGAATTGAGTTATGGAGGTGTTTTTAGACTATAATTGTACTCTATGGTACTAAATTTGGAAATGGGGGAAATTAAAGACCTGAAATCGTGAAATATGAGGCAACTGTGGTTATCTGAGGTTAGGATATTGAGATTGTTTTGAAAATACGAAATGATGCTGAATTTGGTATTGGGTGAAAGGATGGTGCTGGTATCCTTAAATTTGATATTAAGCGTCTCTGTTGGTATCTGGAATTGAGATATGGAGTGGTTTTGGAAGTGTGTATTATAACATTATGAAAAGTACAAAATGGTACTAAATTTGGTCTTGGTTGAAAGGGAAAGAAATAAAATTCTGAAATTTGTTGCTATCTGTATTTGAAATTTGGCGGTCCTATATTTGTATGAAGAGTACTAAATGGTATTAAATTTGGTATTGGGTGAAGCGATAGGACTGGAATATTTTTTATGGAACACAAAAAATTCATAGTGTTCGAGAATCAGTCAGTCTTCGGATCTATAGGACTATTTTTCGAAATATCATACCTAGGGAAGGTTAAAAGTTTTTTTTTTTGAGCTATCAGAGCCTTGAAACGTATTCGATTTTTTTGTAATATATCAAATGAGAGTCAAAATTTTTTTTAAATATTTTTTTTTTCATGGAAAAAATACTTTTTTATTTTTTCTATGGAACCTAAAAAAATTGCAGCACTGTGTAATGTTTAAAAAATAATTTTTGGAATTTTAGGATATTTCTCTTCTGATCTACGCTAATGGGTTTCAATTCAATTTTGATGACTACATCTACTAAATTTTTCATTTAGTTATTTTTTTTAATATTAGTCCGCCGGGGCAATTGTGGCTGACGATAAATTCCCGGTTTTGCTTGTTTGACGAGCAAAGCCAAAGAGAATTTATTCGGGCCGTTTTCAATTTGATGGCATTGCAATTTCCCAATATTCAGTTTTGCCCCGCAACGGAACTAATGGTGGCAGGGGGTTTTTTCTGCTTTCAGTTTAGCTTTTCATTTTATTCAGTGTCAAAGTTTTAATATCATAAAATCATCAAGAGTTTTTAGGTTTGTTTTTTTTATTTTTAGTATTTTTTTTTTTTTTTTGTACAAAAAAAAGTTGAAATGCAGTTTTGGGTTATTCACATTTGTTTTTAACTTAGTTTTGGGAACGAGTAAGTCTTATTTTATTTTTAATTTGATGAATTATGATTTTTTTTCTGGTTTTTTGAGGGGGAGAAGGGAGGTTTTTGTTAACGTTGTGGTTTTGTAGATTTTTATTTTTTAATTGATTTAATGAAAATTTGTTAAAATGATTTGCTTTTTTTGAGGTTAGTTTTCATGATTATCGCAATGATTGGATTTTTCTACAAAATGGGATTTTAATATTTTTTGTTTTCTTTCATGAGATTTGATTTCAGTTTTTTGTTTAAACAAATAAATTACAGAAAAGAAATGATAATGGAAGCCTAAAACATAAAATGATTCATTTAACATTTATAAATAACAAATGAAAAATTCCAACTAAAATCAGAACACACACACAATCACACACCAAAAGAGAATTACTATATTTTTACTAACAAAAAAACATATTTAAATAAAAAAGTATAGTTTTTTGTTTCAGTTCATTATGCGTGTAGAAATGTTAGAATCTAACGTAATTCGACTTACCTAACAAAGGCACGGCATCCGAAGTGGCCGGCATCGTTTCAGCAACCATATTGAGAAAAACGGTGAGAGAGAGTAGAATGGTGACACCTGGAAGAAAAGAGAGAAAAAAAATTAGGAAATTGAAATGAAAGAATATTTGAGATAAAAAAACAAAAACTTATATTTTTTAAAGACATTTGCAAAGGAACGTAAAACGTGGATTTTTTTTAAAGAAATTTTCACAGGATCTTAAACTTGGATTTTTTAAAGAAATTTTCAAAGGACCTTAAATTTGGATTTCTTAAAAACAATTTCAAAGGACCTTAAACGGGGATTTTTTAAAGAAATTTCTAAAAAAATCAAAGGACCTTAAACGTGGATTTTTTAAAGAAATTTTAAAAAAAAAATCACAGGACCTTGAACGTGGATTTTTTAAAGAATATTCTAAAAAAAATCAAAGGACCTTAAATGTGGATTTTTCAAAGAAATTTTTAAAACAAATCAAAGGACATTAACCGTGGATTTTTCAAAGAAATTTCCAAAGGAAGTCAAAGGATTTGAAACGTGGATTTTTTAAAGAAATTTGCAAATGACCTGAAAAGTGGATTTTTTTTAAAAAATTCCAAGAAAGCCAAAGGACCTTAAACGTGGATTTTTTAAAGAAATTTCCAAGAAAACGAATGAACCTTAAAGAAATTTCCAAAGAAAATCAATTTACCTTAAAGAATTTTTTAAAGAAATTTCCAAAGGAATTAAAGGGCAGCAGACACGAATTTTTTAATGAATTTCCAAGGTAATTTAAAGGACATCAGACGTGGATTTGTTAAAGAAATTTCTAAGGGAATTTGGAGGACATCAGATGGAGATTTTCGAAGAAATTTCCAAGGGAATTCGAAGGACATCAGCTGTGGATTTTTGAAAAAATTCCAAGGGCGAATTTTTTAAAGAAATTTCCAAGGAAATTTAAAGGACATCAGACGTGGATTTGTTGAAGAAATTTCTAAGGGAATTTGGAGGACATCAGATGTGGATTTTTTAAAGAAATTTCTAAGGGAATTTGGAGGACATCAGATGGAGATTTTCGAAGAAATTTCCAAGGAAATTCGAAGGACATCAGGTGTGGATTTTTGAAAAAAATTCCAAGGGCATTTGAAGGACAACAGACGTGGATTCATAGGCCGTTAAATGCGAGTTTATAACATCAATTTCTAAAAGAGACCAAAGACTCGGATTTTTTAAAGAAATTCCCAAGGGAATATAAAGGACATCAGACGCGTATTACTGTTTTTGAAGGACTATTCTAGGCTCTAAAACAGGGATTTTAAATAATATTCTCGAAGGATTGCTAACGGCTCTTAAACGGAGTTTTTTGGAATATTTTTGAAGGACTATTACAAGCTCTTAAAGATGGATTTCCAAGGAAATTCCAAGGATATCAGACGTGAATTCAAAGGACCTTAAATGTTGATTTTTTAAAGACATTTCCAACAAACTACCAAGATATTATTAGAGATGGATTTTTGAGATGGATTCAATAGAACTTAAAATTGGATTTTGAAAAGACATTTCCAAGGTAATTCAAAGAACCCCAAAGGAACCCCAAATGGGGATATTTAAGATGCATTTCCCAATGAACCCTAAAGGACCTTAAATGTTATATTTTAAAGGCTCTGAATCGTAGATTTCAAGAATGAATCAGGGATTTTTAAAATATTTTTGAAGGACTATTCAAGCTCCGAAACATACATTAAACAATAGTCTAACAATATTCCGTGGATTTTGCACAAAATTTTTTAAGACTTTATTTTTGACCCGAACCAACGGACCTGGAACTTGGATTTCAATACTATTTTTAAAGGACTCTAATAATCCTGACAAATTTTATTTTAAAAGAGGTTTTGACGGACCAAAAACAGCCCGGAAACGTGAATTTTTAAGAATAAATTTAAAGGACATTCAAGCATACTTGAGAACAACATTGAAGGACTATCGACGAAGCTAAAAAGGAAACTTTATGACTATTTTTAAAGGACATTCCATGACCCTGAAGTCTAGGTTCCTAAGAAAATGTTTGAAGGACTTTCAGAGCGCTTTCAAAGAGAAATAATTCTAAGGGACTATCAGAGAGAGAGAGAGAGAGAGAGAGAGAGAGAGAAAGCTCCTGAAACCTAATTTTTTGGAATTTTTTCAAAGGACTATTAAAGGATCATTATGGTAAATATTAATAATATTTCTGAAGGACTTTTATAGGCTCCTAAGCGAGGAAATTGAAGAATATTTCTGAAAGACGTTTAATCTGTAATTTTGGCATACAATTTTGAAGGACTTCCAAAAGCTCCGAAACAGTAATTTAAAAAAAAATTGAAAGACTGTTAAAATGTCTGAAAGATTGAATTTTGAGAATATATTGGAAGGGCTGTTAAAGGTCTTAAACGGATTTTTCAGAATATTTTTTTAAGACTGCTAAACGTTCTTAAACGATAATTTTTAAAAATATTTTTGAAGAGCTGTTAAGGGTATCTTGAAGTGAATATATGTAAATGGCTCTTAAACGGATTTTTTGCAAAACATTTTTGAAGGACTTTTAAAAGCTTAGAAAGGTGGATTTTTAAGAATATTTTTGAAGGACTGTTCAATGCTCTTAAACGGGAATTATAAACAATATTTTCGAGGGACCATTAAAGGCTCTTTTTAAGACTATAAAAGAATCTGAAACGGTAATTTTGAAAAATATTTCCAAACGTATTTCCGAGGTTCTGAAACGTGGATTTTTGAGAATACTCTTAAAGGTCTGGAAAAGGGATTTTAAGAATGTTTTTGAAGGACTGTTAAAAGTTTTTAGAGATTTTTAAAATATTTTTGAAATGCTGTTAAAGACCCTTTTGAAGTGTTTTTTTGAAAGACTATTCCAGGCTCTTAAAGGGAGATTTTTGGTAATATATTTGAAGAACTATTAAAGGCTCTTAAAGGGGGATTTAGCAGAATGTTTTTGAAGGACTATTAAGAGTTCTAAAAATGGATTTTGCGATAAAAATAATATTTTTGAAAGACTTTTAAGTGTTAAAGTGTTATTTTGAAGTATAATTTCGAAGGACGGTTAAAGGTTTTGAAACGGCAGTTTTGAAAAATATTTTTGAAAGACTTTTAAGGGCTCTAAAAGATCGATTTTCAGGAACATATTTGAAGGACTATTAAAGAAAGTTCTTTTAAAGGGTTTTTTAAGTACTATTCCAATCTCTTAAACGGGAATTTTAAGAATCTGAAACGAAAACTTTTAAGACTTTAAGAATATTTTAAAGTGCTATTAAAGGTTCTGAAATAGGATTATTTTAAATATTTTTGAAGTGCTGTTAAAGATTCTTAAACGGGGAATGTGTAGAATATTTTTGAAGGGCTGTTAATGGTGGATTTTCAAGAATATTTCTGATGGACTGCTTAAAGCTCCTTAACGGCGAATCTAAAAAATGTTTTTCGAAGATTCTTAAACGGGGATTTAACAGAATATTTTCAAAGGCTGTTAAAGGATCCCAAAGGTGAATTTTAAGAATAATTTTGAAAGAATAATAAAGGCTTTGAAACGATAATTTTGAAAAATATTTTCGAAGAACTGAAAGGTAAATTTTTGAGAATACTTATGAAAAGCTAATGAAATGTCTAAAGCGTGATTTTTTAAAAATATTTTGAAGGTAAATTAAAGGCTCTTAAACGGGAACTTTTACGGAGATTTTTAATAATATATTTGAAGAACTTTTAAAGTCCCTTAGGCGGGGATTTTGAAAAATATTTTGGAAATAATGTTAAAATGCTCTAAAAGGTGATTTTTAAGAATATTTTAAAAGGACGTTTACAGGCTCTGAAGTATGGATTTTTTTTTTATATTTTTGATTCTTTTTCAAAGGTCCTTAAAAGGAAATTTATAGAAGTCTTTGAAGGACTATTAAAGGCTCTTAAACGTGGATTTTTGAAAAAAGTTTTAGTGACATTAAACAGCCTTAAGGAATTTTTGAGTGGGTCTGAAAGGTGTATTTTTTTACGAATATATTTGAAGGACTACCAAGGACTTTGAAAGTGATAATTGAAGAATATTTTTAAGGCTATGATAGCTTTATTTTTGAGAATAATTTTTTAAAGACTGTTAAAGGCTCAAACCGGGACTATAAAACATTTATTTTAAGTACTATTGAAGGCTGGAAATTTTAATATTTAAGAAGGACTTTGAAAGTTGAATTTTTAAGTATAATTTTGAAGGTCTGTTAAAGGCTCTCAAACTAGATTTTATAGAATATTTTCAGAGGGCTGCTAATGGCTCTGAAATGGTAATTTTGAATAATAATTGGCCTAAAAAGTGTATTTTTATAAATATTTTTGAAGAACTATTAAAGGCACTCAAACTGGGATTTTGAAAAATATTTTGGAAATAATGTAAAATGTTCTGAAAAGTGAATTTTGAAAGATCATACGAGTGAATTTTTAAGAATATTTTTGAAGGATTGTTAAGGGTTTTGAAGCGTAAATTTTTAAGAATATATAGAATTTGTAAATAGGCCTGGACAGCGGGACCTAATATGGGATATAAAAAATAAAATATCTTTGAAGGGCTATCAAAGAACTTGAACGTTTTTAAGGCTGTAAAAAAATAATTTAAAGAACTTTTTTAAGGGCTTCAACCAGTCTGAAACTTGAATTTTTAAATAATTTTGAGGATAATATTCAAGAGCTTATGCCGTGGTTTTAAATGAAAATTCTTAAAGGACTGTCAAAAGATGTATGTGTCTATTTTTAAAAGACTGTCTACCAACCCAAAAATGGAGATTTTGAAAAAAGACAATTAGCAACACTGAAAGAATATTTTAAACAATTTTGTAAAAGACTATCCATGACCCAAGAACGAGAATTTTTGAGGAAAAAATTGAAAATGTATTTGAGGCTATGAAAACTTATTTTAAGAAAACTGTTGAAACAATAATATATGCTTTTAAATGTGGATTTTTAAAATAGACCACGTGAAACAACTTATTCCAAATTTTTCATTTTTAAATATTTATTAATTGTTGACTTTTGATCAATATATCCTTTCTGGCTGTTAATTTAGTTTAAGGTGAGAATTT